TGAAAGAAAATAAGGAAGCACGAACCACGTCTTCCTGAGTCGATATCACCTGTAAGAAAGGTGCAAGTAGCAAGCCCTAGCTTCAACCTGAAAATGGTGGGGGCCCCCGAAGGGGTCAGTACAAGTACCGAGCGAGTAGCAGGCTAAATATAGAATAACTAGCGTTTCAAGTATAAGACCCAAACATAGGGTGATACTTATATAAATAGTCTTTCCCCCAAGTTATGAAATACTTGTTAGTATATATATACTTGGAAAATATCCGATCCGTAGATCACCGTTTTATTTGGGAAAACTAGTAATAGTCAATATTCTTGACTAAAAACCCCAACCCACCCATATACCTATGAGTGTATAGGACTCCTCCTTGTCCCTATTTCAATATCATAATCTATGAGTTTTGAGGATCGTAATCCTTGGGTACTCCACCAAATTGTTTTCCGAGTGTTAAGGACTCATAAGTCCTAGGGTCCTCCACCAAGTTTTGAGTGTTAAGTACTTTTAATTACTAGGGTCCTCCACCAAATTTTATAATCCGAGTGTTAAGGACTTTAAGTCCTAGGGTCCTCCACCAATTTATAATCCGAGTGTTAAGGACTTTAAGTCCTAGGGTCCTCCACCAATTTATAATCCGAGTGTTAAGGACTTTAAGTCCTAGGGTCCTCCACCAATTTATAATCCGAGTGTTAAGGACTTTAAGTCCTAGGGTCCTCCACCAAATTTTGAGTGTTAAGTACTTTTAAGTACTAGGGTCCTCCACATAAATATTTTCCTATGATCAACCTTCTATCAACCTAGATAGAGTCTATATCATACTTAGTTACTCATAACTAATTCAATACATAAAGCTTATGTATCACAATCCATGCAAAGCCATGCAATTATATAAATGTATAATTTAACTAATATCAACCGATATTAATTAATCCATTATCCATCGGTCAACGTTGTCGTTGACCTCCATTTCAAGTCGTACACTTATCAACTTAATCATCATGTAATTAAGTTAATAATATTCCTTGGTGCTTCTTATACATTTCGAACAAATATGCATTTTATATAATTCTTCATATCATATTCCATACATAAACAATTTATTTCTTTCATACAAACTTAACCCTATTGGCTAATCACATGTTTAAATATCTTTTACACATCATTATGAACTCATATAACATTTATTTAGGTAATCTCATAATTAACCCAAAAGTTATAAGATATTAAGCCGTCCACTCACCTTGAAACTAGCGTTATGAAGTTCTACCCTTCTTGGTTGAACTCCGGTGAAACTCCGGCGACTTTTGGTCAACTCCGGCGACAACTCCGGCGACAACTCCGGCCACTTTTCCAACTTTGTGAAATCACTTGAAATACCCTTTACAAGTTCCTAACAAGGTTTTATAATCATAAAACCCATGTTAATACGAATAACCTCAAAAAGGTTTTTTTCTGGTGAACCGGTCGTTTTGGCTTCTAAGTCCGTTTTTGGACTTAGAACCATCTTCCACCCCATTGTTCAACACTTATATCATGTAGAACAATACTAAGGGTACCTCATGTGATATATATCTCATACTCCCTCCGTCCCTAATAACTTTGCCAAGTTTGACCGGCACGGGGATTAATAAAGTAAAAACTGTGTGGTTGAGGTTTGTGCAGAGGAGAGAGAATTAACTGGATCCACAAATTCTTTACTTAAAAGAGAAAGTGGCAAAGTTAATGGGACGTCTAAAAAAGGAAAGTTGGCAAAGTTATAAGGGACGGAGGGAGTATGATAGAAGGAAAATAAAGGAAAAGTTATGATAAGGTCATTACCTTAATTTTCACACTTTTTCCTAGCTTTTTCCTTCTTTAATCTTCCTTCTTGGAACCCTATGGCTTGAGCTCGAATTTTGGCTATGGAAGATGAGTTTGCAGAGGTGTCCTTGTTCTCTTGGTGTGCCTTGGCCGAAATTATGGGGTGGGTGAGTGAAGAGATAGCCTCTTTGGCTTTTCTCTCAAAATAATGTGAGAATGGACCCCCCCATTGTACCTTTGATAGACTCCTCACACCTTCCTTTGTCTTACCAGCCACCAAGAGTCACATTTGAGCTGAAAAAACGTGGGGTGGCCCCCACTCATGTGGGAGGTCATCCCTTTATGCCCCGAGGTGTACAATCGGTCCCGAAAGTTGTATTTTTCGGACTGTTTTAATTATATTTTATTTTACCGGGTAAAATAAAATATATTATGTGTCCTTAATCATAACTCCCCTTTGAAATAATATATATTCCAAAACTTTAATTTGGAAGTCTCCGAAATTCATTTCTGGGTTGCTATCTGTTAAATTGTCGGTACCGGTAATTGGGCTTCTTTTGACCAACCGGTCAACCCCAGGCCTTCCCATGGCCCAAATAAGATGTCCATCACTATATAAATATTATTTCGACCCATAAGAATAATTTATGTGATCTCGGGAATATTGGGCGGCCCCCGCTCCCGGTGTGGGTCCCACGTGCCATTTACTATTCACGCGAAAGAATTAATAAAAATTTACAACTTCGTAAATTCATTAATCCTTTAATAAGGTTCAATACATTATTTACATAAAAGTAAATATGTTTGGGGACGGTGTTACAAAGAACCTAAGGAAAGCAACCTTGACCGGAAATTCAAGGCCTAAATTAATAAGGACAAAAGTGATTGAAAATAAACTGGTTGGTCTAGCAAACGTGGTCAGACCCGGAGGTCATCCAAGGCTCCCAGATCATACAGGTCCAAGTTCAAGAGGTCAGTTTCCCAGAGAAATCAGAAATTCCCAAAGGAAGAAGCCAGCCTAAATCAGGACTGGACAACTTCAAATATGCCTAAGGATATCAGACAGATCAGGTAATCAACACCGGAGAAACAAACAAAGCTAGCATGAAGATGGTGCCGCAGACAGAACAGATCGGAAGTATCAGGCGGTCATTGCAGCTAAGTACGTCGGCCGATGGGTTCACCCTTTTGCTTCATTTTGGGGGCATGTGGTGTACTCTTTTTCCCTCGCTAGGATTTTTTCCCACTGGGTTTTTTCCTAGTGAGGTTTTTAACGAGGCATCTCCCCATAGGGACAAAAGGTGACAACCCTCGGTCCCTGGAGGAGTTATTACGAGGCAATCACTACTCTACTCCTCTCCATCTCATCACGCCCGCCTCAAAGAATGAAGAATTTCAAGAATGAGAAAGGAATCGAATTACTCCTCTAAAATCCAGCCCTGCTGATTTTAAGGAGTAGGGGGCTCGTGATGGTACCATGGACTCTGACCATGGCCCAATTACATAATCCAGTCCATTAACGGGATCAACCCTCTACGGGATTAGCCTAATTAACAGGATTAGACCATCAACGGGATCAACCCATCAACGAGATCAGCCCATCAATCGGGATCAAGGATAAATAGCCGCTGGGCCTGATTAGGAATCAAGCCCATGACAGGAACCCACAGCCAGACTGGGCTGGACAGCAAACCTCGAGCCCGGAGCCGACCTCGAGCCTGGGCGAGCCAACCTCGAGCCTGGGCGGAGTTCTAGTGAAGCCGGGATATTCCTAAGGCCTACGTGGCAAGCTATCATTCAATGATAGATATTTGGCAACAGACAGGACTCGACCGGAGTTTGGAAACAAGAAGGAGACGATTAATGCTTGACGACCAAGGCATGAGAGGAGTTCTATTTCGAGCAAGAATATAGTTCATTAATTAGCATTTATTGTATTAGATTCCTCCTAAAATATCAACTCCTAAAGCCTATAAATACTCATGTACATATCTTGTAAAGGGGTCTCTCTCCCGATGAATAATATTCTTATTACTTTCTCACGATCAATGAATATTTGATTGATTTAGCTCTCTTCGCTGGAATTATATTCCATCACATGGTATCACTTTTGTTGAGTTTTTTAATATCAATTTAATTTTCTTGCCTTTAGTTTATAATATTTAGTTCGTTTAACCATTTATAGTTCAAATAAATTAAGAAGAACTCTAAATTTCATCATGACCTGTCTTTTATAAAAATAATTATTATTATTGGGGGCAACATTAAATATTTAATGGAGGAACATAAAATATTTAATGAGGGAAAATCTATTTTTTCTACAAATTAAACAAAGTGTTTTGAGCATATATATTTAGCTTCCTAGGTAATTTTTATTGGGGGCATGTGCCCCCATTATCATGAACTTGCCTCCGCCCGTGGCGAGAATACTATATGTACTTTATGATTGCGTTTTTTTAGCACAAACCACTCAGAAATAGTAGAAGAGAGCATCATAAAAAATAAATACTACGATTTCAAAAAATAAATAAATACTAGGCATATCTTCATCTTAAATACGAAGTATTAATTATAAATTATTTAGTCGCTACACATTTCCTATATTTTCAAGTTGATAACATAATAAAAAAATTAAAATGAATTACATTTCAAGTCAATTTTGACGTGCAAGTGTGCAACATGTATGTACAAGTAAAATAATTCAAAATTCCATGACCGGTCACAATTTAAACGGTGGAAAATGGTTTACACTTCCACCATTACCCATTTACTCGCCCCAATAAATTACCCATTTCTAACCGTGGTCCGTGGGTGCGAATTGAAATCATTAATTTGATGTTGAATGAAAACTCAACGAGCTAATCATCATAAAAAAAATTAAAGAGGTAATTTGAGTTTGCATCTCATTTTATTGTCTAAATTGAACTTTGCACTCTGTTTTTAAAAAACTTTGTTTTTGCACTCCAATCCCATACGAAAAGACAAAAGTGCCCTCAATCAAGAATATGTTGAAGGCTAACAAAATTATTAATGGAGAGACATTTTTGTCTTTTCATATGGGGTGCAACAACAAAGTATTTTTTTTTTAAAACGGGGTGCAAGTCTATTTGGGATAATAAAATGGAGTGCAAACTCAAATTTCCCCCAAATTAAACGTAACAATAAAAAAGTAGAAAAGTAGCCACACAATAACAATTGCTGTAACATCGCATCCTTCCAATAATAGTAAGTAGAACTTTCATCCAAAAAAAAAATAGTAAGTAGAACAAATTTATTTATTCCAGTGATTGCACACAACATACATTTATATATTACAAATTTACTATATACGTAGTACTGTGTGTATTAGTATTTAGCAATTTTAATTGTAATAATCTAATCTTTTTCCAGCCTGCTAATGGCATTCTCCCCTTTTACTTGACCTTTCAAACTCCCGGCCTGTTGCCTAACAAATATTGTGCAATCTCATTTGATGCGCAGGCGGGATTTAAATTCCAAGAAATCAAAATTGGATTATTCAAAAAAGGAGTAAGAGGTGAAATGTAATTATATGCAGGTAAAAAAAGAATACATTATTAGTATCAATTTTTTTAAATTATGATCCAGCCTTAATTATTATAGGAAAATGAATTTTCTGGGGAAAGAGGCGGAGGAGCATAACATTCAAAGGTGCAAATGCAGCGGTATTGGTGGGGTAGTTCACAAAGTGCAGATATAGGCGGAGCACCATTGGTGTAGTATGGACAATTCTCAACACAGAATTGAGGTGTACAAGGTCGATTCACATAGGTCGTACATGTTGTGGTCGGCTGCTTGCCAGGATCTGCACCAAAGAAATAAAATGATAGATATAGGAGTAAGATCGAGCACCATGCATAATTGATCCACAAATTTAAATAATCAAATAAGGATTGAGATCCTCCGCCGTGCGGCAGCGGACGGATGGATGAGACCGAAAACGCCTCGAGATGCAGTCCTCCATGATATGCCGCCGTTGGTTTTTTATCGGACGGCCCTCCGATTTCAAATGATGAATTGATGAAGCCTCTCAAAGCAAGAACAAATTTTTTAACAATGAATACAAATTGACTAGAAAATTCAGTGAAATACGGAGTATAAATTTTAAAATATTCGAAGTACACAAATGAGATATTCTAAAAGATATATGAAGTATATCGTTTAGAGTAACATCAAGAAAATCAAACTACTATTATTAGTCTATTAAAGACTCCTACTAAATATTTGCAAGCCCCTGTAAAAGTGAGCCTAAGTGTCAAATATCTATTGCACCTTTGAAAAGATGGCCAACTATATGTATGTTTTTTTTATTATTATAATAGTCGTAGATTAAATAATGGATTCTTTAGTTCTATATAATAGGGCACACCAAATATGAGAGCTCGAAAGTTTTCACCTAGTACGTAGTACGATAGTATAATACAGTAAGAATTTAAACAAAAATGCAATATGACTTAATTGTAAACCTCACCTTGAGTAGCGAGGGTGACGTCTAAATTAATAATAACAAAGAATAGAATGCATATGAGAGCGATACCACTGATATTACTACCCATATTTCACTTCTCGAGCAAGTGTTTATCAAGAAGGTTAACTGTTATACGTACAGGTGTAAAAGGATGTGTGTAGTATTTATAGTTGTGGATTTGTATATGGTGGAGAAGAAATGTTGCAAATTAATGTTTCACTATTTTGAGAAATTACATACACGTATCCTAACGGAGTAACGGATACATGTATCAACCTTTTTATAAACAAAATGCACAAAGATTAAATAATAAAAGTACCAGAAAGTATAAAGTAAAAACAAGTTCTACCTATATCCCACATATGATTTTGACCAATGTTGTCATTTACTCATCTCTAATTCGCTTTATCCCTAATTTGCTCTTAGAGAATTGCAAAAAGTCGCAATGGCCAGTCCATAATCTATTAATGAACGTACAAATGTACGTACATCATGTTGGGTGTGTTTCGAAAAACAAAGAAAATTAATTAATAAAAATTAATTAAATAAAATGACAAAACGAAAACAAGAAATGAGATGAAGCAGAACAAGTCAAAGCTCGTGCAACGCACAATTTCCTTAAAACGTATTCGTTGCCTCCCGGGGTGCCAGGAGTGTTGCAACGATCGTTTCCCAGGATACGATGACTTCGAACGATAGTTTAGCACTCAAACTATGGTTCCAACGAACGTGAACAATGCAAGAACACAATAGGAATTTTCAGAGATGGCTGTGAGAGTTTTAGAGCTAAAGAAGAGTATAATACGTCTGTGAGCTTGTGTATTTTGCAAAGCAGCTGCCAGCCTTATATAGGGGAGGATCTTGGTGTGTTAATAGCCTGTTTAAGGCATATGGCCGTTGGACATCAATGCCCAACGTTTGGGACATTGATTCCAGCCAGAAACAGTCCAAAACGTGTGCATTAAGTCCATGAACGTTGGACATTATGGCATTTGGACGTTGGGCAGTAAATGGAGCAAAAAAACGTCACCGAAGAACAAAAGTTAACGTTATCTTTAGAAGATAGATTTTCGGACGGCATTCGTGTGTGCAGGTCGCCCGCACACGCAGGGTCGCGCTTTTTGTTCTTCAGTTTCGGGATTTGATTCACACCCCCCCCTGCGCGCATGAGAGAGCCTTTCAACTTAGGAATCTTAACTGCTTAGGGGGGGGGGGGGTTTCCCTTTATAAAGAGTCCAAAATCCCTTGTGATTTTCGGTGTGGGAAAAACCCATACCAAAAACTCACCTTTTCCTAGTTTTCTCCATTCCAACGGGTAGACATCGAAAAGCGATTTCTCATTCACCCGTTATCCGTTTTGAGCGTACCATATATCGAATTGTAGCCCCTAAGCAAGGACTATCCGAAACCACTTTGACCCGACCCAAATCGGAAGTGGACCCCGCTCAAAAAATTGCCCCAAAATGACCATTTAATACAATTTAACACACTTTTTTCCAACACATCATTGTCTTTTATACAAGAGACCTAATAATTACTTTACAAAAATAGTTGATATGCTACATATAATTTCCTAATTTAATTTATTACAAGGAATACTTCCTAAAATGCATAGTCAATCATACGTTACCACCAACACACCCTCAAGGACGCGCATCTTAATTGGATAGCAAATAATGGTCCAAGACTAACCATTTTGGCCCAACACATACATTGCCTTACTCAGAACCCATATATGATCAATACTTGGTTGCTGCGTCTTGAGCAGTTCAAACAGAAACATAACCACAAAATTGTTGTACACAGGCAACACAACTATATCTCCCTGCTTTGAGTGTTTCCAAATGCAATGATGTTGCAGTTGTTGTATGTTCTCCAATAGTAAATTCCTTCCAAGTGTGTGTTGCAACAAGATCTGCTCATTCAGTCGCTGCAGATGTTATCTTCTGCTTTTGAGTGTTTCCAAGAATCAGTGCCCAATATATAAACTGAGAGAATTGCAGGATTCCAAAGTGTTGGGAAAGTGAAAGAGAAATGGCCTTCCTTATGGCAGGATTCCAAAGTGTTGCCTCTCCTTGATCAATGATCATTGTACAACGAAAATATCTCATTAAACGGGCCAATTATTTCCCACACATCAAAATGTGGGTATTCTGGTGTAATATTGATATGAATGAGAAGTAAGAACTTCATTTTCTCCATCTTTTATTTGTCCTAAGGCTATGTTTGGTATGACGTAATCAACCATGTAATGTAATGTAATGAGCATTACATGTTGATTTGATTACGATGTTTGATATGTCATTTTATTTTAAACTGTAATGTAATGGTCATTGCGTATGTGAAACTCATTACTTTGATTTGTGTAATAAGCATTACATTAAACAATAAGTTTACATCTTATACCACGTAGTGGGTGGCCCGATCCCGGGCCAGGCCGGGCCCTGAGACGGGTTTGGGAGGGACTAAAAGTTTGGGTTGCAGCTCGGTACCGTGTCGGGTTTGTACCGGGACCGGGCCGGGCCGGACACAATTGTTTTTTAAATTTATCCCGACACACTACACACACACACACTGCACACACACACACTGCGAGCACACACACAGTACACCGCACACACACAGATAAACAAACATAATTACGTAATTGGGTCATGGTTAGAATCCATGGTACCATCATAATTTTTTTTTTGAAATGCTCATGAAAGCGGTTAATTAAAAAGCTAACTGAATCGGCTAGTATCAATTTATTGATTCAACCGACTATTAGCTAGCAAACAACTGTGATTATCAAACACGACCGTTAGTAACTTTTGAAAACGTCATAAACATTTGCAGTTGGGAACAAAGTAATAGTGCACCAACTACAAATGTTTATGACGTTATCAAACACATATTTAAACTTCCACTTTTGATGACAAAATAAAAGTAAAAGGACAGAAAATGTCAATTTCACAATACTTAGACATGAAATGTCAAAAATTCTAAAGTCAGTGATCAAAGTGTCTCACTCCCAAAAAAATTTACCAATTTGTCACTAGAGGTCTAGAGCTTCTTTTTTTACCAATATGTCTCAAGTGTTTTTTTTTCGATTTGGTAGTCTACCCTTTTATTTTTACCAATTTGGTAATTTGGCCTATGTAGTTATCCAGTTTAACCGTATGTTTTTACATTTACAAAATTTATGATATTTTTTTTTTGTTAACCAATAAAAAATTAACACATCAATCATTAATAACTTAGTTTTACTATATAAACCATATTCTACCTCCATCCCGGTGGACTTTGCCAAGTGCAAAGTAGGTGGAAAATAAGAAAAGTAAAAATTGTGTGGTTGAAAATTGTGCAGAGGAGAGAGACAATGTGCAGAACCACAAATTAGTTGCTTTATTATGAAAGTGACAAATTTTTTTAGGATAATGAATAAAGGAAAGTTGGCAAAATCCAATGGAATGGATGGAGTATAACATACAAAGTATATTGTTGGCCCGTATAATTCAAAATTCCATCACCCGTCCAAATTTAAACGGCGGAAAATAGTTTACACTCTCGGTTTTACCCCGCCCCCATGAATTCCCAATTTCTAATCATGGGCTGTAGGTGTGAATTGAAATCATTAATTTGGTGTTGAATTGAAATTGAACGAACTAATCATGGCAAAATGACAGGGTTATTTAAACAATAATTAAATAAGTTAATTTGAGTATATTTTGAAAAATAATTTTAATAAGTTTGTAATACTCCGTATAGTGGAGTTAATATTGATAAATGTGATGTTATAAATGTAATTTTTTCAATATTCAGTGATTAAATTGTCATTTCAAATTGTAAATTGTTTTCTAAAATAGAAACAAAAACCTTTATATAGAACGTCCAAAAAACAAAAGTAGGAACTATTCTATGGAAAAGATGGAGTATCATTTATAATATCTACATATTACATCCCGTGTAACGCACGGGTGGAATACTAGTCATCATAATTAGCAGTAAGAAAACTAGCCAAACAAGACAATTATTGTAACATCGAATCATTCCACCAGTAAGTAAAACAAATTTATTTATTCCAGGGTGTGTATACAACACACATTTATTTACTTTTTGTATACATTTAGATATTATGGAGTACAATATACTACCTCCGTTCTTAAATAAATGCAACACTTTGACTTTCACACTATTCACATGTTCTACTTTGACTACGTTTTATTTATTAATGTAATAATATTATTTTATGAAAAAAATATTGTTAAACTTGTCTCATTGTAAATTTTCATAATCTATTTTTTTTTAATTTTTTTACTAATACTAAATCATTTATATTAATGGTCAAAGTTGTGTCTCGGCAAGTGTGAAATGTTGACCGTTGCATTTATTTAAGAACGGAGGAAGTACGTAGTATTGTGTATATTAGTATTTATAAGTTTTAATTGTAATAATCTAATCTTTTTCGGCCTGCTAATGACAGTCTCCCCTTTTACTTAACCTTTCGAAACTCCGTTGTCTTTAACAAAAATCTGCAATCTCATTTGATACGCAGACGGGGATTTAAATTCGAAGAAATCAATATTGGATTATTCTGAAAAAGAGTATGAGGTGAAAGTGTTATAAGCAGGTAACAAAAGAGTAGATTATTAGAATCAAATTTTGTAAATTTTGATCCAGCCTCAATTATTATAGGAAAATGAATTTTCTGGGGAAAGAGGTGGAGGAGCATAACATTTAAAGGTGCATATGCAGCGGTATTTCTTTGGTAATTCACAAACTGAAGATATAACGGGAGCATTATTGGTGTAGTTTGGACAATTTTTAGCACAGAAATCATCTGTACATGGTGGTCGATCAATATAGGCCGTACATGTTTTCGTCGGTTGCTTGCCAGGATCTGCACCAAAGAAATTAAATGAAACAGGAGTAAGATCGAGCACCATATTGATCCTCAAATTTAAATAAACGAAGGCCGCGGTTTGATGGATTTGGAAGCTTTGATTTCAAATGGTGAAATGAAGTCTTCTAAAGCAAGAAAGAACATATAATTTAACAATGAAATATAAAATTTAAAATATTTGAAATGCACATATTCGACAAATCTTTTCGAATCAGGATATTACATAAGATCTAGAAAATCAATATACAACCACCACTCCGTATTACTCTACTACATACTAAATATTTGAAGGCCCGCTATAAAAGTGGGTATTGCTGCCAAACATCTATTCCACCTTCTAAAACACGGACATCAACTTAACTATATGTATTTTTGTTATTATTATAATTATTATAATAATAATTGTAGATTAAATAATCGGTTCTTTAGATCTATATACGGAGTATATATAATAGGGCGCACCAGGCCAAATATGGGAGCTCTAATTTTGTTATAATACAGTAAGAGTTTAAATGAAAATGCAATATGACATTAATTAAATATAAGAAAGTTATTGATAATTAAGCCTCACCTTGAGTACCGAGGGTGACGTCTAAATTAAAAGTAACAAGTAAGATAATGCATATAAGAACGATACCACTGATCTTGCTACCCATATTTCACTTCTCGACCAAGTGTTTATCAAGTGGTTAATTTTATTATATAGGCATAAACTAGGATGTGTATGGTATTTATAGTTCTTGTGGACTTGTATATGGTGGAGAAGAAATGGTGTAAATTAATGTTTCACTATGTAACACGGATACTTGATTAATGTATCATTGTATTGAAAACGTTCTCGAATCTTGGATACATGTATCCTAATGGATACACATATCAACCTTTTTAATAAAGAAAATACACAAAAATTATAAATACTTAAAGTATTGGATAGTAAGAACCAAAAACAAGTTCTACCTATATCCCACATATGATTTTGACTATTGTGGTCATTTACTCAACGCTAATTCGCTTTAATTTATCCCTATTTCGCTCCTAGAAAATTGCAGAAAGTCTCAATTTAGAGGTCGTTTGGCAACACTGTTTTTGGGTTTAACAGGCTTATCAGCTAACTTTTTCACCAAATACGTTATTTTTTCTTTCTCGCGCTGAATTGTGTAATAAGGAGAAAAAGTAAGGTTGAAGTTACTTTTTTGGCTGCATTGGCTGAACTTATTGTAGGCGACCATTTTAGCTATTTTTACATATATTTTTTCTTTATTTTATTAATAAAATATATTTTAAAAATAATTTTGTCTTAAATCAGCAGAATCAGCCAATGCAGACACTTCAGCGAGAACTTCATAAATTTCAGTAAAATTAGCCAAAACATCTGATTTTCGTGCTACTAAACGGGCTCTTAATCGATCTACTGTTTTTTTAATCATACGAAGAGAAGAGAATTAGTTCAAATTTTCTTCCAACAACTAAGAATCATACTCCCTCCGTCCCGTAATTAAGTTCCTACTTTCCTTTTTGGGATGGTCCATATTAAAGTTCCTACTTCAAACCTTTCCTTATTTGGCAAACAGTGTCAAACAATGCCAAAGAGTGTTTAAACAGTGTTCAAACAGTGCACTCCACAGTAAAGTCAAATTTATTTCTTAATATGTGTGAAGTCAAACTAGAAACTTAGAGCCCGTTTGGTAGCACCAAAATCGGCTGTTTTGGCTGATTCTGCTGAAATTTATGATATTCTGGCTGGAGTGGCTGTTTTGGCTGATTCTGCTGATTTAAGAAAAAAATATTTTAAAAATATATTTTATTAATAAATTAAAGAAAAAATTATATGTAAAAATAGCTAAAATGGTCCTCTACAATAACTTCAGCCAATACAGCCAGAAAAGTAACTCCAACCTTACTTTTTCGGCTCATTACACAATTCAGCGCGCGAAAGTAAGAGTTACGTGTTTGGTGAAAAAGCTGGCTGATAAGCCTGATAAGCCGAAAACAGAGTTTTCCAAACGGGCTCTTAATTAACAACGGAGTATTTACAGGAGTATGTGTTTGTAAAATACGAAGAGAAGAGAATCTCATTACGTATTGCACATTGCTTTATATTGGGTACTGCGCCTTGAATTCACTTAAGCATTTATAATACTCAAATCCTCTAATTTTTAATATTTAGAAATACACTCTTATAATTTTTAATATCTATAAAATACTTCTGTGTCTGTATTCTATATTTTTTCGTCATACTTCTGTGAGGCGGATTCAAACTAATGTCCGTTTAATGCTCTCAGCACCTATCCGACTTCCCCTTCACTACTCTTAGTCTTGAGTAACACTTTTTTGATCCAATCCAAAGAGAATCACATATGTTGGTAATGATGTTGAGATTAAATGGACATTAATTTGATTTCACTTTGAGAAGAAGAGAGGGGAACAGTAAAGTTGGAGTAGAGGTCGGGAATATATATTCATTGGGCATTAGTTTGAATTCACATCAATTTATTCTCGTGGAGATCATTGCTAGTTTGAATTTTTTATGAGCACTCTCACTAGCAATTATTATTGTAAAATATCTAAAAGTAGAGATTCATTTTAGGAAATAATTAGTACCCTTAAGTGATCATGTACGTAGTCATCAAATATTAAGAGTAATTCACATCTAACATCACAGTTATCATCAATGATCTCATTATTATATCATATTAATGCCCAATAAGAGTATCTCCCGCGGTTAGCTAATTGCTCTCATAGCTTGACTAGCCACATAAGCATTTGTATCACTATTGAAATATACTCCAATGGTTAGTTACAACCTTTTCCTCTTCGTTTATTATTTATAATACTATAATTAATAATTCTCTTTGCTCAAACTAGTAGCTCATTTTGGCTAATTAGCTTTCTCAAACAAAAGGAAGAGCAATACTCCAATGGTAAGCTAGTAGTTTCAAAACTGCAAGCAAGTCCTTAGAAGCAATCATCGGAGATGCTCTTATACGTACTCCCTCCGTTCTCCAATACTTGTTCCCTTTATATTTTGGGTTTTTTAATGCCTGTCTCCCTTTCTATTTTTAGAAAGTTTTTTCAATAAACATACATATACACTTTCATTTTTTTCCTACTTTTTCATTTTCTTTTCTACTTTTTCATTTAAACACAACTCACTACACCTTTTACACTACCCCTATTATATTCTTCTTAAAACTTGTGTCAACCCCTATAAGGACAAGTACGGGAGAACGGAGAGAATATTATATTATAGATTCATTAAAATTATTTCTCAAAATCAGGGACGTAGCTAGGGGTGGGCCAGACTTGGCCCTGGCCCTGCCCAAATTTTAAAAATGTCTTTATTTTTAGTGTAAAAAATTTCGTGTAAATTTTTTTTCAAAAATATTCTTTGTGCCAGCTCTGTCTGGCCCAGTGTCCTGGCTCCGCCCCTGCTCAAAATATACCCCAATATTTTTATTTTATCATTGTCTAAATGACTGCGTCGAAACCTTAAACCAAAAACGGAGCTAGTATCCAATCAGACCGATAAGTCGAGAATTAAAGTTTCCAAACTAACTCTTCCCAAACTTATGCTCTGTGTCTTATACGGAGTAAAGGTTTTGATAATAAACTAGTTTTAAAATATTTTTTCATACAAGAGTAACTCGATCATGAGCAATTCATGACGTCGACTTGTCATAAGTTTTTTATTTTAATATTTATTGTTTCAGTACTTATTTTTTATTACTTCATTTTCCTAATTAATTATTTAATTAAAAATTAGGAACATAGAAAGACGGAGTGGCCCGCTGCGTGTTGCGAAGCATATTGGCGTCCCCGCAAGGTGAGGGTCTAGGAAATGAAGCACAAGTCTCAAGTTTTTTTATAGAACATACAATTGAGAAGTTTTAAGGACTTCTTTAGTGATACTAAAACTAAAATCATAAAATTATTGTGTTAGACATAGTGGTAACTATGTTGAGCTTTAAATACTCTTCTTTACTACTTAATACACAGTAATAGTGAAATCAGAGTTTTTACCCAAACAAGTAAGTCTGAAATCTTATTTCCCAAATAAGGGTACTTTTAAACTTATTTTCCAAATGAGAGTAGTTTTTTCCATGTCATCCAATTTTGCCACATCACCTATTTTAGGTCATCAACCAGCCATTCCATGTCATCAACCACATTTGGGTGCGCTAATAAAATATATAAAAACTTTAACGCCCCAAGAATTGTCATACAAGAGTAACTCGATCATGAGCAATTCATGACTTGTCATAAGTTTTTTATTTTAATATTTATTGTTTCAGTACTTATTTTTTATTACTTCATTTTCCTAATTAATTATTTAATTAAAAATTAGGAACATAGAAAGACGGAGTGGCCTGCTGCGTGTTGCGAAGCATATTGGTGTCCCCGCAAGGTGAGGGTCTAGGAAATGAAGCACAAGTCCTAAGTTTTTTTATAGAACATACAATTGAGAAGTTTTAAAGACTTCTTTAGTGATACTAAAACTAAAATCATAAAATTACTGCGTTAGACATAGTGGTAACTATGTTGAGCTTTAAATACTCTTCTTTACTACTTAATACACAGTAATAGTGAAAATTAAGTTTTTTCCCAAACAAGTAAGTCTGAAATCTTATTTTCCAAAAAAGGGTACTTTTAAACTTATTTTCCAAATGAGAGTAGTTTTTTCCATGTCATCCAATTTTGCCACGTCACCTATTTTAGGTCATCAACCAGCCATTCCATGTCATCAACCACATTTGGGTGCGCTAATAAAATATATAAAAAATTTAACGCCCCCAAGAATTGAACCCAAAACCTATTGTACATTTTTTCTTAGCTTGGAATCCATTGAGCTACTTTCAACTGCTGATACAATTTGTTCTCTACGTTTATTTAACAGATACGGAAGTATATGTTTAACTACATGACTTAAATAGTTAGAGAATATGATAAAATACTTAATTTCAGATATGCAATTAAAAAGTAAAACTCAATTCGAAATTATAATACAAAATTAATGTGATATATCCAATTAAATAATAATTTAAAATAACTCTACACTAAATAAAATATGAAACAAATAAATGTCATGACTAACTCGCCACAAGTTTAATGAAAAGCTTATACTTCGTATTAATAATGTAAAAAATATAAAAAGACGGAGTATATTATTCGTTTACACTTAATTTCGTGAACAAAAAATAAAATATCCCAACACTAAAGTGGATTACGACTTCGAATGGAATTTATTTATTTTATATTTTCTTTAGTGTAGAATTGTTTTAAATTATTCTTGAATAGCATATACTAGTATCAAATTACATTTTTGTTATAACTTTTAATTGAATTTCAATTTTTAATGCACATCTGAATTAAATTAAGCATTTATCAATTGGAAATTAAATTAAAAAGAATATTAATTTCAAAAGAATATGACGAATTACATTAAAAAGGAATATGATGACTACTTGGTTTCAGATATATCAAACGAATATAATACTATTGCATTAAATACTCGCAAAGATGAGAACATAACAATGGTTCAATGTATTGCAGTGGTTTCCAAGCAAAATTTCATCAACTGTGTCGAGGGTTCAACTCTAGTTGGCCTCAATTTTTTTAATATTTTATTAATACACCCAAATGAGATTACATGGAATGATTGATGACAAGGAATGACCAGAGGATGATGTGGCACGGGTAACGCGGCAAAATCGGATGACAAAGG